GAAGGGAAAAGTACTTGCAGTTCAGAAGTTGCCTTGTAAGAAAAACTAGAAGTGCTTTTTGTCTGTAGTAACTTCAGAAGTGACATACTTTCCAAAGATCTCATAGACCAGTATATCAAATTAGAATGTACACATGAACTTCTAATTGTAATTAAAATTGTGTAGGAACATCTTGAACTACTTTTGTTTTTGGTACTTATTTAAGAAATGAATTGAGTTGGATTATCATTATGTAATGTCGGGAGATTGCAATGCAACTTTACGCCAAGAAAATGTAATGTAACTGCCCCAAATATTGTTGAATATTCAACAAGAAAAACCTGTATTCTGACTGAAGTTTCATGCTTCAATTGTATTTTTTTAGTTTCTTTTTTGTTTCTTAGGTACTAATTGTAATTTTAACCAAGGGGCAATATAGTGCTCCATTTGTATTCGTAGTGTATCTTATAGATACAAAAGCAAGGCAAGAACACAATGGCTGTTTAAATGGTGTTTTATGTTGATTGGAGGGGAAATGGGGAGAAGAGAGAAATGAAAAGTGTATTACTTAAAGACATACTGTATACATTTTGTATCATTAAATCTTTAAAAGAATCTAAATAAATTTATTCTTGTTTACAGATGTTAAGTGTGTTGAATTATTCTTGGGGGGGAGGGAACCTGTTAATTTTTCATAGAGTGGATGTGAAATACTAATCATTTCCATAGCTAGTCTTGCTTTTTTTTTTTTTTTAACCTAGGACACATTTTTTTCTTGGACCTCAAGCACGGTGTGATTTCATTTGCTTTTCCAACTATATTTGTCATTTATTCACAATGTTTCATTTAACTATAATTCCCTTTTCTAAAATTCAGTAACTTTGATTGGGAGAGGGAGGGGTCCTAGGGTGAGGGAGAGAAGAGTCTTCAGGCTCCAGCCAGAAGGCTAGTGTGTAATTATGTGTTGGTCACTGAAATAGTGACTAGCACTTCCTGGTCACTCTTCACAAACAGGTTCAAGGTATTACCGTTTTTGTTTATGAGCTCCAAGAAGCAGCTGTTTGTCTAATCCAAAACCTTTATAAATTTCTTCCTAAAAATCTTCCTTCTGTGTAGACAATTGAAGTCCAACCCCCTACTGCCATTTTTTGCTTCCTAATTTTATATCATCTGCAAATCTCATTTAACATTCTCATCTCAGTTTCATCATCCTGTTCAGGAGATCAATAATAAATTAGTTCCAGGGCTCACAAGGAACTGGGGGGGGGGGGTCGGTGTTGAGGGTTTTAAAAAACATGAAGATAGAAAATCAAGCAATAAAATCTATGTATGGAGTGGGGAAGATAAATGAAGAGATGGCTCAACTTTTGCTTCTGTTTATTAAAGGGTCTTTGAACTGTAAAAGACAGGACAAAAGTGAGCAAGAAGGTACAGGTACCTGAGATGAATAGGGAGAGAGAATAATAAAGCACCTGGCAATCTTTGATGAATGGAAATCAACAAGGTCATTTGGACTCCCTCTGCAGGTACTTACAGATGTGTTTGCTCAACCATTATTGGCAGTCTTTGAAAGACTGTGGAGAATAAAAAAAGTGCCACAGGATTGGGAAAGGGCAAATATCCCAGTTTTCCGAAAAATAAAGAAAATAGCATCAGCAAACTTTGGCCCAGGGAACTCACTGACTAGTTTTTAGCAATATTTTAGAATGTTTTTAAAGAAATGGTGAGTGGGGGCAGCTAGGTGGTGCAGTGGTTAGAGCTCTGGCCTTGGAGTCAGGAGGACTGAGTTCAAATTTGGCTTCAGACACTAGACATTTACTAGCTGTATGATCCTGGGCAAGTCACTTAACCCCAACTGCCTCACCAAAAAGGAAAAAAAAAATGGTGAGTGAATATTTTTAAAGAAAGTGGTTGTCAGAAAGAGGCAATATACCTTAGATCTACAGGTAGAAGGGACTGATTTGCCCAATATCACAAAAGCATGAAAGGTATGATTTGAAATCAAGTCCTCTGGTTAATTCGGTGCATACAGTATACACCTAGATTTTTGTCCTTATGGGAAAGAGTGTTGATTCCACCATTAGAATGTAAGCTCCTTGAGGGTAGGGATTGTTTCATTCTCTGCTTATATCCTCAGAGCCTAGCATAGTGCCTGTCATATTATGATTTACTAGATAAATACTTGTTAAGAGGGGTGGAGTCAAGATGGCAGAGGAGAGGCAGCCATCCAGTTGAACTCTCCCAACATTCGCCTCCAAACAACTTTAAAATAGTGCTTCAAATAAAATTTTAGAGCCAAAAAGACGGGGTGAGATAATTTTCCAGCCTAAGACAAATTAGGTAAACTGGAAGAGGTCTGTGACAGTGAGTGTGGTGTGGGTGCCAACCCAGAGTACCATAGCACCATGTGTGGGCCATAGGGGCACTTGGAACAAGCAAGTGGCGGCAGCAGCTTCAGGAATTACCAGCCTAGACATAGTAAGGGGGGTTGGACAACTACAGGGAACCCTTTGCTGGCACTTTCAAGGAAGAAAGAAGCACTCGTGATCAGATCAGTCAAAGAAGAAAAAAAATCAGTCATATGAAAAAATACTCTAAATCACTATTGATTGGAGAAATGCAAAGTAAACCAACTCTGAAGTATCATTTCATACATATCAAATGACAAATGCTGGAGGGGATGAGGGAAAATAGTTCCACTAATGAATTGCTGGTAGAGTACTGAACTAGTCCAGCCATTCTAGAGAACAACCCTGGGCGTAGTGGGCAGCAATTCCTTGCCTTTTCTATTTGTGTGATGGCTAATATGGAAATGTGTTTTGCGTGATTTCACATATATAATTGTTTGCCTTCTCAGTGGGTAGGGGAGGCACAGGAAGGAGAGAATTTGGAATACAAATCTTTTTTTTTAATGTAAAATAATAGATTTTTTTTTTTTAATTTTAAATAAATACTTGTTGACTGATGGGTGGAGAGGTATGAGCTAAGTAAATATGGAGATTCAGAATTGGTGAAATAGCTGGGCCCAAAACAATACTAAAATGTCCCAAACACTTAGGATGTTGCACATATCTATCGATGATTCATAGCATCATATCAATTCTGTGGATGACAAAGTAGTTAGGATTCAAAAAGATCTTGATAGAAAAGAACACTGCACCAAACCTAAGAGCATCTAATTTAATATGGATAAATACGTAATTTTATATTTTGGTTTAAAAAGCCATTTTAACAAATACAAAGTGGGAGAATTATACTTTCACAGCAATTGATCAGGAAACACAACTACCACCACCTAGGGATTTTGGAGGATTGCATGGTCAATTGTGAGTCAACAATACGGCAACCAAAAAAGCCAATGAGATCTTAGGCTGCATTAAGAGAACCAAGGAGATGATGTGCTCTGCCCTAGTCAGACCTCATCTAGGGTAATTTGTTCAATTCAACACCACATTTTAAGAAAGACATTGATAAAGTGGAAAATTGCCAGAGAAGGGAAACTAAGGATGAAAACCCTTGACTTCATGCCACAAAGACTGGCTAGAATGACTGAATGAAGCATTTATTAAGCACTGTGGGCAAAGCATTGTACTTAAACATTGGGGATACAAATAGAAAGGTAAGACAATCCCTGTCTCTCAAAAAGCTCACATTCTAATGAAATTAGGGAAATGGAGCCCAAAAGGGGGGTGAAAGGGTGGGAAGCAGGGAACAGGATAGTAAGTGATCTGAAGGATGCTTCAAGAACTGTCACAGTGAAACATAATTAGACTTGTTCTTATTGGCCCCAGAGGAAGAACTAGAGAAAATGAGTAGATAATACAGGTTTGATGTCAGAAAAACCTTCTTAAGAATTAATGCTCTCCAAAAGTGGAGTTTCCTCCCACTGGAGGTCTTCAAAGGCTGGATGTCCATTTATGGTTCATGTTTGAGTTTACTACCAACTCCTGAGATTCTATTTGCATGCTCACAGCTCAAAGAAAATAATACTGGCCATTGTCAGAACTGTGAAGAAGTGTGGCCATTTCCTCCTTCCTGGAACATCCTCTTGAAGGAGTAAAAGATGAAACAAGAGAGTAATGCTATAAGGAGATGACCCAAGCATTCAACATTGAGCCCAAACCAGCAGGTCAGCAATGGAAGAGGAGCAGAGGCTAATCAATCCCCGAGACGGATGATGAGGCTGGAAAGTTTGGTTTTTTGTTTTTGCCTTTGTTTTTCTACTACTACAGTAACTGAGATGGGCTTGAGAGTGTGCATATATAAACACTAAGAGAGAAGAGCAGAAAATGTCTTCTAAATTGAGTTTAACTAACATTAAGCCACTATGTGTTGTGTCTATGTAGTATGCACTAGCAGGCACTGGGGATATAAAATACAATTCCTGTCTTCCACGGAGTTTACAACCCATTCACAAGCAAGGTAAGGCAAAACAACAAGCATTTATTAAATGTTTACTACGTGCTAGGTATTGTGCTAAGTCCTGGGGATCTAAATACAAGAAAAAAAGAAGAAAGTCCCTGCCCTCAAGGAATTTACACATTAATGGGGGATAATACACATGAGAGGGCTGAAAAGGGTTGTGGGGGAAGAATCACATTGGGGTATGGTGTCCAAGTCTGGAAAGTCAGGAGAGGCAAGAGGTGAATGAAAGCTGGGTGGCCTAAGCCCTTCCCCAAAATGAAGGCCCCACGAGGAACTCACCATTGGAAAAAGGAGTCAGCATGGCAGAGGTTATTCCATCATGAGAAGGTAGCAAAGACTGAAGTAGCCAAGTCTGGAAAGTCAGGAGAACCAGGAGAGCGATAACAAGTATCCATGCATCAAATGCCTTCTCTCCGTTAGGCAACTGTGCCAGCGGCTGGGGCTACCCAACAAAGAGATAAATAAATTGCCCTTTTCTCAGCAGCCTGGGTATTTCTACTGTCCATCTTCCTTTACTGTGGTTATTGTGTTGTTGACTTTGGGGACAATCACAGCTATAGGGTCATGGCCCAGAGTAATTATCTGCTGCCTTGAGCATGTTTCCACAGCATGCAGCACTGGTCCATCCAGGTGGGGAGGAGGGATCAACCAAACAATGCTACCAAGAAGAAAGAAGTCATCAGTTGTAAGTTCCCCTTCCCTATTCCATACCCCCCAAACTCCTCAACAGCCCCCCATCATTTCTTTGGTTTCAGACTGATTCAGAATTGGCTCTTCCCCTTGCCAGTGCTAACGTCTCTACTTATGCCCTTGTTCTGATCCCTCCCAGCTCCAGCAGTTTGCTTCTTCCATTATCTCCTTTCTCTGATCTTCATTCTCCCCTTATCTAATGGCTCCTTTCCTGCTGTCTGTAAACATAGCTGTCCTTGAAAAACCTTCCCATCTTCTCCCTATGGATGCCATATTCCTAGAAAAAAAAAATCATGTTTTTTCTCTTCTCCCTCACTTTTCAACCCCTTACAATCTGGCTTCTATCCTCACTGCTCAATTGAAATTTCTCTTTTCAAATGCAAAGGTCTATTTTCATTATCATCCTTCTCGATCTCCCTGCAGCTGGACACAGCTTGACAGCCCCTCCGCCTTGAATATTCTCTCCTCCCTGGTTTTTCCCAACATGGCACTCTTGGTTCTTCTACCTGTCTGACTGCTGAATCCAACATCTATGTCTTACGCCTGCCCCCAAATCTTGGGTATCCTCTCCCAGGGCCTCTCGTAGGCTTTCATCTTTTCTTGTCTTGGTGATCTCCTAACAGCTTCCATGAGTTCAGTTATCATTTATGCAGTTGCCCCCCAAATCTATATATCCGAACCTACTCTCTTTTCTAAGCCCCAGTCCTGAATTAACAACTGCCTCCTGAACCCTCTCTGAGGCCACTAGGTGGTTCAGGAAGGCTGGATTTGGAGTTATGAAGATTTGAATTCAAATCCTCAATTAGGATTACTAGCCCTATGACTCTGAACAAGTACCTTCATCTCTCTGTTTGTTTCCTCATCTGTACAATGAGGATAAGAGCGCATCCTCACAGGATTGTAAGGAGCAAATGAGATAATGGATGTAAAGTGCTCTGCAAAGAGGCTTTATAAACATTAGCTAGTATATTTATCTCAAGGTCTATATCATTATCATTATATCAAAATCATTATCTTCTCTTCCCAAGTCTACCTGTCCTCCAATCTTCTCTTATCATTCAGTTTCAGAACCTTGGGTGCTTCTTAGACTGTTCCCTTCTTCTTCCCTACAAACCTTCATCCAAACAGTTGCTGATTTTTTTTTTTTTAGACAACTGGGGTGAAGTGACTTGCCCAGGGTCACACAGCTAGTAAGTGTCTAGTGTTTGGTCTGAGGCTGGATTTGAACTCAGGTCTTCCTGACTTCAGGGCCGGTGCTCCATCCACTACACCACCTAGCTGCCCCACAGTTGCTGAATCTTATCAGTTCTACCTCACAACATAACATCTCTCTCCCACATCCACCCTTTTTCTTCCCAATCATAATCACTACTCCAGTTCAGACCCTCACCGTGTCTAACTTGGTTTATTTCAACAGCCTCCTAATTGGACTCTGGCTTCCTCCCAGTCTCTTCCCCTTTCCAGTCCTCCTTCCACGTTGCTGCTACAATCATCTTCCTAAAGCTCAAATCTGAGTATGTCTCTCCCCCGCCCAAGAGCCATCAACGGCTCCATAATTCTGTAGAGTTTGTATCCACCTCACCTAGTAGAATGTACATCCTGTGTACATTCTGTGGGCCACTGTTTCATTTTCACTTTAAAATCTCTGCTACTTACATTAGTGCCTAATTACATATAGCACACAATGAATCCTTGTTTGATTATATTGGATAGAAGAAGGGGGAATTAGTAACATGAGAAAATGAGCAAAGGAAGCTTTCATTAGTCTTGGGACGTGGTTTGGCTGGGGAGCGCAGGGAACTCCAGATAGTGAACTACTAGCTGGTAAACTATTTGAGGGGAAAATAGAATGGAAACTAACAAATGAAACGCTATAATATATTAATATATAGCACTTTATAGTTAGTATGTAATTATATATAATATAGCATATATAATACATGCATAATACATAATATAATAAGACACATAGCATTTTATAGTTAGTATGTAATTATATATAATATAGCATATATAATACATACATAATACATAATATAATAATACATACATAATATATAGCATTTTAAGGTTCACAAAGCACTTTACAAATATCTCATTTTATTCTCACAACAACCCTGGGATATAGATGCTACCAGAAAGTGAAATAAAGGAAGTAAGAATTGCTAACTCAGCTTTAGGAGGAGTTTGAGACACCTAAGCTTTGTGATTTGAGTCAGGGCCAAGAAGAGATCAAAGGTTTTCCAGGAAAACTGTATAGGAGTCATAATGAGTGACCAGGGAGGAAATGGACAAAGAAACAAAGCCTCCTGATGTTGACACCTGTGTCATAGCTAATGAGTACAGTTTACCAGAAGGTAGCAAGTGATGGTGAGATTTTAGGCCTTGTATTCCTTCCCGCTTTGCGCAGGTAGAAGTTCATGAAAATCATTCTACAAAAAACTGCCCCGGCTAGTCTCAATTTTCTCTAGAATGCTCTTTAACCTCCAGTTGTAGTAAGTTTGCACCTCATGATCCTTACAGATATGAGATCTTCCAAATGCCAAATGGACTACAAAAAATGTGAGCTCATTCCCAGAGATCAAATAATTACTCACACAGTACTACTTTCTCCAGCTTTTGGTTTGTTTGTTTTGTGATTCTCTAGCCTTGTACTTTTCCCTACAAATTAGCTCGGCCTCAAAAAACCCATTTCCAGCTTTGTTGCTGTAAACACTGTTTCATCAACCAGTGATAATAATTCATTTTCTGGGGTTTACCAAAGGACCTCCCTTCACAACCCTGTGAGGTAGCTGGTGTATATTGTCTGTATTTTGCCAATGAGGAAACTGCATTTGAAAGAAGTTGAAGGACTATCCCAAGGTCAAACACTTAGGAAATGTTTTCTGACACCAAATCCATGACTCTTCCTACTAGCCTCACAATCACCTCCCATATTGACATCTTTACCTTGGTTGCTTTTCCATGCCTTCCAATATGCCTTCCCTCAATTTTGCTTTTACTTCAGCTCTTCTAATTCAATCCCTAATGCATGGTATCTTTTAGTTGGGAAAAGAGCTGGAGGGTTAAGTAGGTCAATCTGAGCATGATACATCAATCTTTCCCTTCAATATTCTAGACCAAGTCTCTGCTTGAACATTTTTCAGAGGTTTTCTTCTTTCTTGTCTTTTCCTCCTTCTCCTCTTTCCCTCTCTCTCTCTCTCCCCCCACTCCCTCTCTCGCCCTCTCCTTCTTGCCCTCTCTCTCTTCCCCTCCCTTTTTCTCCTCCTCTCCCTCTTTCTCTCTCTCCCTTCCTCCTTCCCTGCCTCTCCCTCTCTCTCTCTCTCTCTCTCTCTCTCTCTCTCTCTGGATTTCTATATTTTACTTATAAATTTAAGAAACATTTTTCCAGTCGCCAGTATTTGGAGTCCATCCTACCCCACTTCCAGAATTTGAGATCCTGGAAGCTTCCTCCTCTCTCCCCGACCCTCCCCCACTTCATCCTGGTATAACTCCTGCCCTGAAAAAAGCATCCCTAGTTAACAACACTTCCTCCAGATCAGTGAATTGTAACTAGGACAAGCAGCTTGCTTACAAACAAACAAAAAATAAAGTCAGGATTATGTGCAATTTAAAAAGACATCAGTCCATTTAAGGAAAGGAATTATGCTTATAGGTGAAATACCTTCTCATCAAAAATATGAACTATGAACAGCAGCCAGAGTAGGTACATCCCATAGCAACATGTTAGAATCTTGAGAGAAAATAGAAAGGATTATGATGCACAGAAGATCCAAGTTGGAATGGTACCTGAAGAACAGATGAAAACCAGTTTGGAGCTACCTGTTGGGGGGGGGGGGAATAGAAATTATTTTTTAAAAACCAAGTCAACAGAGAGTGTGAAAGAGAGAAAGAAATGAAGTTAAAAGGTTAGACAAGCCTCAATAGCAGTAACAACCCAACACTCTCCTTCCCCATGGCTTCCAGATGTCCTCCTGATGACTTCAAAATCTATTATGTTCTGTGAGTCTGTCTCTTCTACAGTGCTCTAGATAACAGATTAAGCCAAGGGGTGAGATTGTCACAGAAGCAAGGAGGGTCAAGGCTTCATTTGGAAAGACTTTCTCAGGGGAGTATGTGCTGAGTGTCTTGAATCATTAAATGATAATCTAAAATCTAGGGAGAAAAATGACAACTATATATAGAAATAAAATTAAATATATGTAATTAATATGACATCTAAATCAATGTAGATAAATGTGCAGAGAAAGAAAGATTCACTGGAATCCACTGGGTAAAGGGGATGTAGCACTGGGCTGGGAGTAAGGAAGACCTGAGTTGAAATCTGGCCTACCTGTGTGACTCTGGGCAAGCCATTGTAACTTCTATTAGTCCTAATCTACTGGGGAAGGAAATGACAAACCACTCTAGTGTCTTCACCGAGAAAACCCCATGAACAGTGTGGTCCACAGGGTCATGAAGAGTCAGACACGACTGAATAACAACGTATTCAGTGCAATTCATAAAGTATCTGGCTTAAGTGGGTCTGCCCTGTCCTGAAACAGAGAAGAGACATCCTGATGACCTGTTTCCTATGTTCAGAGACCTACAGCCAGAAAGGAAACCCCCTCATTTTACAAATGAGGAAACTGAGGTCCAGAGAAGTGACTTGCCCAAGATCACTCAGAAGGTAAAGGTCCGCGGTGGATCCAAACCCTAGCTCGTCTGACTCTAGAACCAGGGATTTTTTCACTATACTCACTCTTTCTCTCCTAAAAGTACTTATCTAAAAACGAGTACTTTTCAAACACTTGTGGAGGTAAGCTACAAATGGGAAGTGAGGCATGAGGGATAGAGGAGAGTCTCAACAGCCGTTCTGTACATAGGAGAGAGAACCAGAAATGACAGAGTCTGGGCTCTGGAGCCCCGTGGCCAAGAGCATCTCTCTCCATTCTGAGGTAAAAATACCCTTCCCTTCGGTCTAGCTTTGGCCTATTAAAATTGCTCCTCTCCCTAAGTGGGGCTTCTTGCACATGAAGAAAAAGCAGCCCAGCAGTCTTGACTCAAGTCCAAAGACCTGAGTTAGTCTTTTTTTTTTTTTTCATTTCACTTTCTGGGCATCGAAAGGGCTTATATCTCCTGTCCAATCAGTTCTCCCTTGATTAAAGGAAGACAGAAACCTTGCTCTGGTTTATATCTATGGCCGTGTATCTTTTGGCAGAGATGTGGGCATTTTGTCTAAACAGCATAGAAATAAGCTGTGCAGGTTCAGCAGACTGACTGCAGAGGTCAAGAGAAGAAATATCTAGATGCAGCAGGATCATGCTTGATGCTACTGAGTTTATAACCCTGCTATTTTCACTTGCGGCCTCCTTTTGTCTCTGTCTCTTTTCAAATTACCTTGTATTTTCTTATCTGTATACATGTTTTATTCCTCTAGTAGAATGTAAGCTCCTTAAGGGGCTGTTTCATTTTTGCCCCTCTGCCTATTAGCAGGGACTTAGTAAAGGTTGATCAATTGAATTGAATTGTACCTATCCTGCCCCCTCAAAATAATTTCTTTCTTTCCCTTGGCACACAGCACAGAATGTACAGATTATAGTGACACCAGCTCTGTCAAAGAGTCGAGCATGGCCCAGCAACACTCCCAAGGTGTGACAGGTCTTCGTAACCTAGGCAACACATGCTACATGAATGCCATCTTGCAATGTCTCTGCAGTATCACTCCATTGGTGGAGTATTTCCTTTCCGGAAAGTACATCACCGCTCTTCAAAAGTAAGTCTAACTGTGAGGCTCCCTACTTCCTGGTAGAGGAGTGATGGACTTCAGAGTGTAGATAAATAGACAGATAGACAGACAGACATATGTCTGTAATGTATATGTGTGTCATTGGGTATGACTAATGCAAGAATTTGTTTTGCTTGACTTTACATGTTTTGTAATGGGGGTATGTGTGGGGGTTTTTTTGCTTTGTCATTGGGGTTAGGGACAGAAGTAGGAAGGAGAGAAGGTGAATCTTTCTTGGGGAACAAATTTAATTAAATAAAAAAGTCTTAATTGAAACTCAAGATTTTTCCTTCTTTAAATTGTCAAGCAACTTAGTGGAAGTTGTTGCTACCCAGTTATACCAGCTGGGTCTGCCACAGGAGATCACCCTCTCCCCACCTCATTAGACCAGCCAGTCCCTAGAGGATGAAGAAGGGGTTTCTTTGCTTTCCTTCTCTGTTTCCAAGTGTTTAAACATGTCCTCATGACTTTAGTCATGCGACACCCCCTGTTCTTTTCTCCTTTGGAAGGGACAGTGGTGAGGCTGCCACTGCTTTTGCTTACCTGATGACAGACATGTGGCTTGGAGACTCGGACTGTGTCTCACCTGAAGTGTTTCGGTCAGCCATCGGAAAAATCTACCCAACATTTCTGAAGAGGACGCAGCAAGATGCTCAGGAGTTCTTGATTTATGTCCTAAATGAACTTCATGAGGCTTTGAAGAAGGTCAGTGGAAAGTGGTCACTATGCCATGAAACAGGCATTGGACTAGACCCATTATACTTGATCTTTGAAAAAAGATTTTTCCCTTGTTTTATAAACATGGTGGAGTCTCTTTACACAGAAGGAGAACTCTGGTTATTGACATTGGACACAGGTTTATCAACTTCAAAGGTTCACTTTGGCCTCACCCAGGTGCCTGCCTCAGGGGCCTCAGAATCCAGCTCCTTTTAACCCTCTGCTGGAAGTATTAACTTTCCCCTCCTCCATACAAGCCAAGACTTCCAATGAGTATTTTAACCTAGAATATTAGTTCAGGATAATGACAAAGCCTACTATCCCAGCCCCTTTTAGTGAAGCAAGAAGAAATATTAAAGACCACTTTCTTGATTAAAGACCCCTTTTCCCCACAAGGTGTTTCAGTCTCCAACCATACTCCTATAGCCCTGCCCCCCCAAAAAAAAGACTCAAGGGAAAAGCTAGTGGAAACCATGCCATAAGGTCTGGGTTAGTCAGTTAATGAACATTTTATCAAGTGCCTACTATGTGCCAGGCACACTATGTATTACGCCTGGCATATGGTAGATATGTTAGTGATACAAACAGAGGCAAAAGACAGTCCCTCTCCCTGAGTTTCCATTTAGCACTTCCTTGTTACCTTGGGAATCCATTCATCCCCTCACTATTGCTATCACCACTGCCATCCATCTTTCTCTCCCCTCCTGAGTCTGTGGCCCAGTGGCCAATATGCATCAGTAGATTGCTGCAGCTCTTCCAGTTCTTTGCTTGTTACAGAAATCCTCGGTACTTGCTTGGGGTAGGGAGCAGGGAGGATCCCCTCTATTCTGTTATCCTAAAAGTGCCTTCTTCTACATCTCATTTTTTTTCTTCCTTTTCCCCATCAATCAAGATTTTATAAAGCAGCAACGATATGCAAAGCACTGTGCTAGGTACTATAGGAATAGTTTTCCTGACCCTCAGGAAAAGGAGATAGAAGGTGGGAGTTGGGGGAGGAGGATGAGGAATACCACTTCTGCCATCAACAGTTTTGGCTGCTCTTCTGGAACTGATTTGACAAGGAGGAAAAGGGATTGACTCCAGGTGCTTCTAAAGGGCAGCCCAGCCTCTCCTCCCACTATAGTAGGAATTTGAATTTGAGGCTAAAGGTGCTAAACAAGGATCTTTGCAAGAGAGTATTGCATTAACTGATTTCCTTTTCCTTTTTTTTTTTTTAAAGCAAACGAAACAACATTTTGCTGGGGGAAAAATACCTAATGATATAGCACATTCAACTGAGTCAGATACATTTTGTCACTAGGTCAGAGACCCTCTCTGGTCCTCAGTTTCTTCATTATAAAATGACAACATTGCATTCCTCAATTGATAAATGGTCAAAAGATATGAACAGGCAGTTCTCAGATGAAGAAATTAAAGCCATCTATAGTCATATGAAAAAAAATGCTCTAAATCACTATTGATTAGAGAAATGCAAATCAAAACTACTCTGAGGTACCACATCACACCTATCAGATTGGCCAACATGACAAAACAGGAAAATGATAAATGTTGGAGAAGATGAGGGAAAATTGGAACACTAATATATTGTTGGTGGAATTGTGAAATGATCCAACCATTTTGGAGAGCAATTTGGAACTATGCCCAAAGGGTTAAAAAATGTGCATACCTTTGACCCAGCAATAGCACTTCTATGGCTATATCCCAAAGAGATCATACAAATGGGAAAAAGACCCACATGTACAAAAATATTTATAGCAGCTCTTTTTGTGGTGGCAAAGAATTGGAAATTGAGAGGATGCCCATCAACTGGGGAATGGTTGAACAAGTTGTGGTGTATGAATGTAATGGAATACTATTGTGCTATAAGAAATGATGAACAGGCTGATTTCAGAAAAACTTGGAAAGACTTTTATGATCTGATGCTGAGTGAAATGAGCAGAACCAGGAGAACATTGTAACAGCCACGTTGTGTGATGACTAATATTGATAGACTTAACCCTTCTCAGCAATACAAGGATCTAAGACATCTCCAAAAGCCTCATGCTATAAAATGTGATCTATATCCAAAGAAAGAACTATGGAGTTTGAATGCAGATCGAAGCATACTATTTGCTATTTTTTTTCTTCTGTTGTTTTTTGTTTCCTCTTTCTAGTGGTTCCTCCTATTAGTTCTAATTCTTACTTATAACGTCACCAATGTGAAAATATGTTTAATAGGAATGTGTATGTATAGCCTATATCAGATTGCACACTGTCTTGGGGAGGGAGGGGGAGAGGGAGGGGGAGAAAAATTTAAAACTCAAAAGCTTAGGGAAGTGATTGTTGATAATTCAAAATAAACTAATTAAAAAATAAAATTAAAAAAATGACATTGGATTACATTATTTCTAATTGCCCTTACAGTTTTTGCAATCTGAGTCTGAAGTGGCAAAAAAGACATTATTGAAGTGCCTATTTTAAAAAAAAAATTTCTTTTTAGTTTTCAACATTTACTTCCAATAAGTTTTAGTTCCAAATTTTCTGCCCGTCTCATCCTTCCCCCCACTCCAAGATGGCGTGCATTCTGAATACCCTTTCCCCTAATCTGTCCTCCTATCTTTCCCCCCTTCTCTTATCCTCTTCTCCTTCTATTTTCCTGTAGGGCAGGATAGATTTCTATACCCCATTGGCTTTATATCTTATTTCCCAGTTGCATGTGAAAACACATTTTTTTTTTTAACTTTCATTTTTAAAACTTTGGGTTCCAGATTTTCTCCCTTCCTCCCTCCCCACCTACCCTCATTGAGAAGGCAAGCAACTCCATATAGGTTATACATGTGTAGTCATGCAAAACACTTCCATAGTAGTCATGTTGTCAAAAACTAACTACATTTCCCTTCACCCTATCCCATCCCCCATTTATTTTATTCTCTCTTTTGACCCTGTCCCTCCTTAGAAGTGTTTGCTTCTGATTACCCCCTCCCTCAATCTGCCCTCTACTCTATCATCCTCCTGCTCTCTTATCCCCTTTCCTGCCTACTTTCTGTAGGGTAAGATAGATTTCCATACCCAATTAAGTGTGTATGTTATTCCCTCTTTAAGTTAAATCTGATGAGAATAAGATTCACTCATTCCCTCTCACCTTCCCCTCCAATGTAAAAGCCTTTTCTTGTCTGTTTTATGTGGGACAATTTACCCCATTTTACCTCTCCCTTTCTCTTTCTCCCACTATAATCCTCTCTCACCCCTTAATTTTATTCTCCAGATATCACCCCTTCCTCTTCAACTCACCTTGTGCCCTCTATCTATCTATCTATCTATCTATCTATCTATCTATCTATCTATCTAATTTTTTGCCCTCCAACTACCCTAATACTGACAAAGGTCTCATGAGTTAGAAATATCATCTTTCCATGTATGTAAACAGTTCAACCTGAATAAGTCCCTTATGATTTCTCTTTCCTGTTTACCTCATCATGCTTCTCTTGAGTCTTATATTTGAAAGTCAAATTTTCTATTCAGCTCTGGTCTTTTCATCAAGAATGCTTGAAAGTCCTCTATTTCACTGAATGTCCATTTTTCCCCCTGAAGGATTATACTCAGATTTGCTGGATAGTTGATTCTTAGTTGTAATCCTATCTCCTTTGACCTCTGGAATATTATATTCCAAGCCCTCTGGTTCCTTAATGTAGAAGCTGCTATATCTTGTGTTATCCGGATTGTGTTTCCACAAGACTTGAATTGTTTCTTTCTGGCTGCTTGCAATATTTTCTCTTTGACCTGGGAACTTTTGAATTTGGCTACAATATTCCTAGGAGTTTTCCTTTGGGGATCTCTTTAAGGAGGTGATCAGTGGATTCTTTCAATTTCTATTTTGCTCTCTGGTTCTAGAATACCAGGGCAGTTTTCCTTGATAATTTCTTGAAAGATGATGTCTAGGCTCTTTTTTTGATCATGGCTTTCAGATAGTCCAATATTTTTAAAATTATCTCTCCTGGATCTATTTTCCAGATCAATTGTTTTTCCAGTGAGATATTTCATGTTGTTTTCTATTTTTTCATTCTTTTGAATTTGTTTTACAATGTCTTGATTTCTCATAAAGTCATTAGCTTCTAATTGCTCCACTCTAATTTTTAAGGAAGTATTTTCTTCAGTAAGCTTTTGGACTTCCTTTTCCATTTGGCCAATTTTGTTTTTTAAGGCATTCTTCTCCTCATTGGCTTTTTGGACCTCTTTTGCCATTTGAGTTAGGCTATTTTTTAAGGTGTTATTTTCTTCAGTATTTTTTTGGGTCTCCTTTAGCAAGCTGTTAACTTGCTTTTCATGATTTTCTTGTAAAACACTCAGTTTTTCTTCTACTTCTCTTACTTGCTTCTCAAAATCCCTTTTGAGCTCTTCCAAGACCTGGGACTGATTTGTATTCTTCTTGGAGGCTTTGGATGTAGGAGCTTTGACTTTGTTGTCTTCTTCTGGTTTTATGTTTTGATCTTCTTTGTCACCAAAGTAAGATAATATAGTCTGATTCTTTTAGCGCTGCTTACTCATGATCCCAGCCAATTACCTGAGTTTTAAACTCTTTGTTAAATAAAAGTCTGCTTCCAATGTGGAGAATGTACTGTCCCAAGCTTCGGGGGTTTGTACAGCTGTTTTCAGAGATACTCCTAGGGACCTGTAAATTTTCAGTTCTTCCAAGGTGCTATGATAAGGGGTGAGGTGTTTTCTCTCCACTACCACAACAAGCTTCACCACACCAGCACTCCTCCTCACCCCAAGACCGCCCCTCAGAACTGTGACCCAGATCCAAGCACCAATAAAGCAAGAGATTCCTGCCTCAGCACTGGCAAAGAGATCCCTGCAATCCCCTTCTGATCAGCCACTCGATTCCCGCTCAGTCCGTGGGCTGGAAGCTCAGGAAACAGCCGCGACCCCGAACAACGCTCGAGACTTGTGGCTGAGACCTAGCTCCTTCTCTCACCGCAGTCACAGACTTTTCCCACTGAACTTCTAAGTTGTCTTTGGTGTTTGTGGGTTGAGAAGTCTGGAAACTACCACAGCTACCTTTGATTCAGTCCTCTGAGGCCTGCTCTAGGGTTGCTGCAGCCTGCATGCCCACGCCAAACTGCGCTCCTCTCCCCACCAGGCGCAATAAACCTTTCTGATCAACCATCCAGGCTGTCTTTGGCTGGAAATTTGTCTCACTCTGTCTTTTTGTGGGTTCTGCTGCTTTAGAATTTGTTTAGAGCCATTTATTATAGGTATTTGGAGGGGTTTGGGGGGAAAGCTCAAGCAAGTCACTGCTTTCCCTCCGCCATCTTGGCTCCGCCCTCTGCAAAAGATTTTCTTAGAATCACCTAGGACACTGCAGATGACTTGGAGCCAGAGAAGCAAATCCATTGGAAAGAGACCACTCCAGAGCTGCCTAAAGAGGAGGCCTATTCTGAGATGTCCAGGGGAAGATGTTTCCAGGGACCAGACACCTGCATGGGACATCTGGGACTCAAGATGAGATGTGATGATTAATTGAACATTGGGAATGGGTTACCACAAGGATTGCTGTTATTTGATATTGATGATCATTATTGTATTGCTTTTGTCTTTTGTTTCATGGTGTTTGTGTTTACTGAGTTTTCTTGGTGACTTTGCTGATATGTATATCTCCCCTCTAAAATTAGTACATAGTGTGCCCTCTAAGTGGTTTGATCTGTAACATGCCTTGGTTTATATACAGGTCCTATTTACCAAGGCTTGTCTCCTTGGGGAATACATGAGATTATAACTAAGTTTATTCAATTTTATGACATTGATGGAAACGTGGGACTGTGACAGGACACCTCTTTCCTATTCTGAGTTTAAGTCCCCTAGTTTATAACCACTAATTTGACACAATCAGCAGCAGAAATGAGGATGATGAAGTTTGGGATAAAGGTGCAATATGAGACTGAATGTGGTGCTGAACCACATATATTTGGCTTTATTGTTCAGTCTTTTCCATATTTATGGTTAGCACCAAATGGAGGAATTGTTGAAAGTTATAATGACTCAGTATCCCATTGTTCCCAGCCCTGCTTATTAATCAGTATTAAGGGAGGTTCTGATGGGGAAGGACACACCAAGTCTGCAGCTTTCTGTATTATGTGCTCTTTGTCACATACCCCTACCTGTAAATTGTCATGTTCTTGCCACCTTAGGGATGAACTGAGATGCAAGGGCCCAATATCTTCTCCTGAGGGCATTCTATCTGTCCCCACCTTGAAGCCATCCCTGATCTTCTGTGACCAGCCTGTCAACATGTTGCTACTTTGACATACTTAAAATCCTTTTAATTAAAAAATATATATATTTACAAAGCACTTTACATGTTATTTGATCCTCATGATAACCCATGACATGCGAGCTATTACCATCCTCCTTTTATAGATGAAGTAAGTGAGGATGAAAGAGGTAGTAGTGATCTCCCCAGGATCACACAGCTAGGAAGTGTCTGAGGCAGAATTATGAATGCAGGTTGTCCAGACTACAACTGCAGCACTCTATCCAATGCACCACCTAACTGCCCTCATACTTACTTATGTGGTAGGCACTGTGCTAGATATTACATAAGTATAGAAAATATTTTGTGCGGTGTGGCATATAGGGGTTAGCAACCTGTGACACTAACGATAAAGGGTAGCATAGGAGATTTTAGTGGTGGGGTAGCCAGAGTTGTGGAGACAGGGTCACAAAGTCCTGTTTGTGGAAGACATAATCCACCTCCCCGTTCTCACTCAATCTCTGAATATGCCTCAAAGACATGGGCTCCCTGCATAAAGCGTTAGACAGGGATCCCAACTTATTTGGACTCTGACTCTTTTGTGATTGCTTCTTGACTGTAGATGATAAAGTAATTCAGTTCAATTGAATAAGCATTCATTTAATGTCTACCGTGTACTATGCCTTGGAGATACAGAGACCAAAGTGGCCTCAGGAAACTTTTATATTTTGCTGGTGAGAAACAACAGGTACACAGAAAGAATATGTAATTTCTGGATAAAGAACGCAAGCTTTCACAAGTGGAGGGATCAAGAAAGACCTTGTGAAGGAGACAGTGCTTAAAAGGAGCCAGGGATTCCAAGAGGTAAAGGTGAGGGAGGATTTCTGGCATGGAAGTCACCTGTGCAAGGAAACAGAAGATGAAATGTCATGAACAGGGAAAAGACACAAGCTAGTTTGTCTGGAATGTACAGTGTGAAAGAAAGAGGGTAATATGAAATCACTTTGAAAAGAAATGTTAAGGGGAAAGCAAACCCTCAGTGCCAAAGAGGCATTTGCTTATTTGAGGCAAAGAGGTTCAGCTGAAGACTTCTTGAGCAAGGAAGAGACACAGTCAAGCCTGTGTTTTCAGAATATCAATTTGTCACCTGCGTGGGAGACGGACAGATCGGAGTGGGGAGAGAATGGAGGCAGACAGACCGAGGAGGAGTTCTGGCAGTAGTTGAGGTTAGGACGTGAAGAGGACCTGAGCTTGAGAGGTGGCTCCACAGGTGGAAAGCTGTGGGGAGAGATGGGAGACATTGAGTGTGAATAGCTAGGACTTAACAATTGATTGAATATGATCGGTGTGAGGCAGACCCAGTCAAGGATGACTCCAACCAAGGCTGTGAACCTGGGCAAGTGAAAGAATGGCAATTCCCTCAACAGAAACAGGGAAGTTAGGAATAGAGATGGAGTCTGGTGACCAGGGAATTTGAGAGACCCTACAGGACTGTAGAGAGATGCTCAGCAGGCAACAATTACTGCTATTCACACTGTCTTATCTACATAATGTTAGTATATTAGTTTTACTAACATAATATCCATAATATAAGATTCCAGAGTCTTTCCACCATCCAAGTCAATACTATATACATTGATCATATTATACATATAATTATACACACCCATATAAGGTATGCAGTAACAGATAAACCATTTTTCTAGTCCATATTTTGTAAGACTATTGTACAAACCGAAATATTTATGAGATCTGTGGGCAAGGAGATCATGCTTTGTATTGTTGCCCGGTAGATCTGTCCAAATTTTGAGAGAGTGCTGGGTTCCCAGCACCTTCATTAGCAGAAAAACATATACAACCCACAATAAGTAGCTGAGTCCCAGTTCTGATGAAAAATATCTAATGACACAGACTATGAACTTTCTTTTTTTGATCCCATTTTACCATTGAGGAAACTGAGGCAGACAGAAGTTAAGTGGCTTGACCACAGTTACCCAGCCAATAAGTGTCTAAGGTCATATTTGAACTTGGGTCTTCCTGACTCCTGCTCTATCCACTGTATCTTCTAGCTGCCTCTTATGATCTTCCTTTTATCCCAGGATTGGGGAGCCTTGCCCCTTCTTTAAACTAAAGATGACGGACTTCAAAAGGAAGAAATTATGACTCGGAAACCACATATAAGCTCATGAGGAGTGTCTTCTAAAAGAAAAATCTTGATCACTGCCAGAAATCAAAATGGAGTTCCTATTATGTTGACAGCAAATCATTCATTTTACTTAATGAAAAGTTTTGTTTTATTGCCAGTTGCTAACCTTTTTTTTCTTTTTTGGGGGGAATTCCTAGTTTCACCGAAAAAAAACACAGGAGAAAGGACTTACTACAAAATGCTACAGGAAGGTGGCTTCCAGTGAGTTCTCTATCATCACTAGACTTTTTGAAGGGCAACTTAATTATGACATCGTGTGCTTGAAGTGTGAGAATTGTACTTACAAAAATGAAGTCTTCACTGTCCTCTCCCTCCCCATCCCATCAGAATGTGAATGTTCCCTTCAGGTAGGTCATTTGTACTGCCAGGCTGGTGCTTCTGCCCATCACAAGGCATGATGCTTTGCCTAAAGGGTCTTGAGTGCTTGTGTCCCTGGACCAAGGCACACTACTACATAATGAGGGTGGAGAATGATGGCAGATGAGGTACTAGGACAAGAATCTTTGCTGAATGATATTTTTTTTGTTTGTTTTAGGCAATTGGGGTTAAGTGACTTGCCCAGGGTCACACAGCTAGTAAGTGTCAAGTGTTTGGTCTGAGGCTGGATTTGAACTCAGGTCCTCCTGACTTCAGGGCCTGCTCTATCCACTGCACCACCTAGCTGCCCCTGAATGATATTCTTTCCATTAAAATGGTTAAGAAATTTTTTTCTTCCAAATACCAAGGGCATTTAAGAAGTCATTTTCCAATACCATAACTGGGGTAAGTTTTTTTCCCCCTAAACACTCACTCAAGGAGCCTTTATTCCACATGCTAATAAATACTTGAGAGAATTCTCAAGACCATGCCTGGTCCTTCACAAGGAAGGGGTCCTCTTGATAGGCATGCTGTCAAAAGACCATAAGTTCACTTCCCATCATGCTAACAATATTGGCAGAGTCAGACTATTGGGCAATGCTGGGATGGATCCTCTATAAATTAGATCTGTTTCAGATCTGTTCTCATATTCTCCCAGTCATGGAACACTCTATGATACAGAGGTATGGCTACGTGCATTCATATAATCACTTTGGTAATGATCAACCATATCATCCGTTTTTCTGTCAGTAGAAACTGCATAGTCAATATTAGTTGGCAGTGAACTGAAAACACAAACTGCTGATGCCCAGATCTGAAACAGATAATAGGCAAAATGTGCACTTTTGGCTCGGTTTCAGCATCCAAGTTAGAGAAAATCCAGCGAGACATGCTAGAGTTTATTGTCACTGGATTGTCGCCTGTTATAATAGGTGTTACTTAGCATTCCCTCCTCCTTCTCTTTCCTCCCTCCTTCCCCCCCCTAGACTCAGCCATCAAATTCAGTTTTTCCTTGAGGCCCAGGAACAAGGGTAGGTGAACTTTTGACCACTTGGATGGTATAGCTGGTTTCAATTTTTTCTCCTCCCTCCAAGGTGTCATAGGACCTTTAGAAGCAAATCACCTTGTTTCTAGCATCTAACTTCAGGCAATTCTAACAACTTCATATGCTCGCCAAATAATAATGCTTTCGAAATAGAATCATCAGAATTTCTCCTTTGATGCTAGATCTATATTATATAGCATTAGCATAAATCCTCCCAACTAAAGAATCCCAGTGACAGAATTTATTACCTCCCAAGGAATCTGATTACATTTTGGGACAAATTTAGTGGTTTGGAAGCTACTCTTCCTATTCAGTTGAAACTAGTCATAACTTCGCTATCCCTTATTTTGTTCTTTGTGTTTAAAAAATAAATCTCTGACAATCCTTCAAATATTTAGACTGTAATCATGCCCTTCCTAAGATATCTTTTCTAGGTTAAGTATTCCTAGTTCTTTCTTTTTTCTTTTTCTTTTTTTTTTTGGTGAGGCAATTGGGGTTAAGTGACTTGCCCAGGGTCACACAGCTAGTAAGTGTCAAGTATCTGAGGCTGGATTTGAACTCAGGTCCTCCTGACTCCAAGGCCAGAGCTCTATCCACTGCGCCACCTAGCTGCCCCTTATTCCTAGTTCTTTCAAACAATGATAACATGATATATTTCAAGGTTCCTCACCATCCTGCTCATCCTCCAGTTTATTATTATTATTATTATTATGAGTAGTAGTAGTAGTAGTAGTAGTAGTAAGTAGTAGTAGGAAGCAATAGTGATAGTAAGTAGTAGTAGTAGTAGTAGTAGTAGTAGCAGTAATAATGGTAGTAGTAGTAGTAGTAGGAAGCAATAGTGATAGTAAGTAGTAGTAGTAGCAGGAAGTAGTGGTAATTGTTATTGTTTGTCCTTCATTCTCAAAGAAGACCTTAACATCAGGAAGGTAATGCCAAGACTTGCAAGTGAATTAGATTTAAGTGAAGGAGGCTGTGCAATATCACCAGCCTCACTTTCTCCTCTGGAGCCATCTGAGCCCAGAGGCAAGATATAGATCAGGATGACTGGAGATGGCCCTGTTAAAGTAGTAGTAATAATACTAAATAGTAGTAGTGGTAGTAGCAGTAGTAGTAGTAGTAGTAGTAGTAGTTGTAGTAGAACTAGTAGTAGTAGTGGTAGTGGTAATAGTAGTAGTGGTAAGTACTAAGCACTAATAGTAAATAGTAGTAGTAGGAAGTAGTAGTAATAATAAGTAGTAGTAGTAGGAAGTAGAAGAAGTAGTAATATTAAGTAGTACAAGGAGGTAGTAATAGTAAGTAGTAATAGGTGGTAGTAGTAGTACTAGCAGTAGTAGTAGTAGTAGTAATCATTAATAACAGCCAGCATTTATATAGTGCTTTAAGGTTTGCAAAGTGCTTTTCAAATATTATCTCACTTTATCCTCACAACTACTCTGGGAAATGTAGGTGCTGTTATTATCCCCATTTGCAGATAAGAAAACTGAGGCAGGCAGTGGTTAAATGTCACACTCAGGGTCATATATATTCAATAAGTGTCTGAAACAGGATTGTAACTAGAATGTAGGGTCTGGAACAGAAAACTACAGATGTGGTCTGACCAGGTCAGAATACAGTGAAACTATCCTTTCTCTTGGTAAGTGCTCAAGTTCTATTAAGAAAGCCTAATATCTACTAGCTTTGTTTTTCTTTTTCTCTATTTTTGGGGGGAGGAGGGGGGGATTAGGGGGAGGTGGCCACATCACAAAATTTCGAAATCATACTGGGCATTAAAACCCCCAAGCCTTTCTGACACACATTCTTATATAACCACATCTCTGTTCTGCAATTGTGCTACTGAGCTCTGTTTGTTTTTTTTTTTTAACTTAACTAAGACAATCTACATTTGTCCCTATTAAACTTTTGAATCCTGGTTCCAACACATTTGCTATTCCCTTCACCCCCACTTTTTTTCTACCCCCAAAAAACAACTCTATAAGTTAAGTATCCCCAAGCCAACTGGCTCAGCTAGAGCTTATGGTCAGTCTGATTTCTGCATAAAAATTATGTATCTAGAAAAATAAATGAAATCAAGTTTGGGTTTTTTCCACCATTTATTTGACATAAGTTTTCACTCACCTGAGTCACAGTTGAAGAGCTGATTCCACCATTGATTTAAACAATTTGCAGCTGATTTTCCCCATTCACTCATCTTTTTCGTTAGTAAAAATTAGAGGAAAGGAGATCGGAATTCCATATATTCACATGAACTCATACTCACTGTGTAATTCTGCAGCAGCTTCTCATCATGGTGGTAGTACAAATGAAATGCTCCAGATCCTCTGTGTTTCTGAGTCCTCACTCCTTGCCTTCAACTCTCAGCTCTGCTTGTCTTGGGGTTTCACAGTCCTATCGTAATGAGGCTTATTCCTTGGCTGCTAACAAAGCTCTAATCTGAAGAGGGGACAAGTTCCCTTTATCCAGTTTGGTCACCAAATGCTTTTCTCTCAACAGGAATGTCTTGGATGTTTCTTTCAACAAGATACACTCACCTGGAATAATCAAATTCATTGTGCTTTCTGTGAATCCAAGCAAGATGCAGCTGTCAGAGCTAGCATAGCCAAAGCACCAAAGACAGTTATTTTTCACTTAAAAAGGTATGGATTCTTAGCTATATCTAGGCAGAGTTCAAAAAATGGAGTGGACCAGAAAACGAGCATTGTAGTTAGTCTAAACAGTTGTATAAGACACAGTTAGTCCTGGGGCAATTCACTGATTCTTGGAATTGAGTATATTTATTGAGAGGAAGTCCTACCTTAACATAAAAGATCTGTTATGTAATTATCATTTAAATCCCATTGCCCTATCACTATAGTTCCCCATACCATCCCTTTGCCCACCACAACTTACATACAGCTCTTTCCCAGAAAGGTGGCAGAGGGCTACAGCTTATTCGAGAATGGGGGGAAATGAAACAATTTTAACCAAATATAAAGAGATCAGGTACCAATATGGAAGAGTCTTTAAATACCATGGCCCACTCAGAAAGATTATCATTCAGCGATTGATTCTGACTAACAAGGGTAGGCATGGGGGTGGGATGGAACTGGCTGCTGAAAGAGAAATGAAAACCTTAGGGAGGAAACAACCATAATATGTTAGAATTTGTGATAGAGAGGAAAACTGGGGATATTGTCTGAAATGCACTCTAGATTTTGGGATAGCAGATTTCCAAGTATTCAGGGCAAGGAGAAATAGAATGCCATGACTTAAAATTCCACAGGGAAAGTTGCCCTCCTCTATAGAATAAAATTCTAAAGTTAAAAACAGAAACTATTCCAAAAAGGAAGAGGCAGCTGTCTAAAGACATCAATGTGGATGGACAGAGAAGTCAATGACCAACTTATATCATTAAAAGATGGGTGATGGACAAGGACCCATAATGGACAATGAATACCAATGTGTGACATAGGCCTTTATGAAGTGTCAAGAATCTGAGCTAAGACTGATGAATGCTAAGGACAATGAAGGATATCAGTAGCTACGTGAGGAAATAGAAAAAGATCAAAGAAGGGAAAAGATCATTATTTTGGAGAGAGAGGATAACTGAAAATGGAGAAAAGGCAGAACTCTAATTTTCCTATTTTCTCTGCCAAGGAAAATGACAGACTGAGAAAGATAGAAAAAATTAGTTAAGAAGCTAAAACTCAAGAGAGGTGAGGTGATGGTAGGAGAGGACCTAGATTAGCTTAAATGAGTTTAAGTCACTTGGCCTACATGAATTACATACTAGAGTTCTAAAAGAATTAGCTGGTGTGACTACTGAGCTACTGTCAATGATCTCTGAAAGATAGTTGAGAAAAGTAGAGGTTCTATTGGTTTGGAGGAGGGAAAATGTTGTCCAATGGAATGTTAAAAAAAAAAGAGAAACAGAATCTGCAAACTCTAGTAGTAGTAGTTTAACTACTTCTGGCAAAATGCTAAAAAGACCTGGGTTCAAATCCTATCTCTTAATACTAGCTGTGTGAACATTGTTAAGTCACTTAATCTTTCTGATCCTCATTTTCCTCATGTATAAATGGGAATAATAGCTTCAATATTGTTGCAGTGGCTAGGTGGCACAGTGGATAGAGAACTGAACTTAGAATCGGGATAGACCTGAGTTCAAAACCTGCTTCTGACAATGTTGTGGGGACCACATTCCATGTTTATGAACTTTAAACTACTTTCTCAGATCATAATCTGTTGTCTTTCCACTTTTCCCTCTGCCTTGTAATTCTAAACCCTCTTCTTTATTCTCACTGAGATCTCTACTCCCCAGTTCTTTCTGAAGCCATCAACTGGGATGGCTACTCTCTTTCCTTCCCCATTTATGGAACCAGTTTGACCCTAACTGTTCTCTTGAGTCCCTTGTCCTTTTATCCTATTGAAAAATCTCGGGGGGGCGGAGGCAAGATGGCAGAGTAAAAGCAGTGACTTGCTTGAGCTCTCCCCCAAACCCCTCCAAATACCTGTAAAAAATGGCTCTAAACAAATTCTAAAGCAGCAGAACTCACAAAAAGACAAAGTGAAACAAATTTCCAGCCCAAGATAACCTGGATGGTTGATGGGAAAGGTATATCATGCCAGGCTGGGAGAGGAGTGCAGTTTGGCATGGGCGCACAGGCCTCAGAGGACTGAATCACGGGCAGCTGTGGTGGATTCTAGACTTCTCAACCCACAAACACTAAAGACAACTTAGAAGGTCAGTAGGAAAAGTTGGTGAGAGAGAAGCATGGGGTCCCAGTCCCATTCCCCAAGCATGGTACCGGGGCGGCTGCTGTCTCCTGAGCTTCCGGCCCACAGACTAAGGGGGAATCGAGTGACTGATCAGAATTCACACAGAGGATTGCAGGGATCTCTCTGCTGGTGCAGGATTCTCTTGCTTTGCCCTTGCTTGGATCTGGGTCACGGTTCTAGGAGGTGGTCCTGGGGCGAAGAGGAGCGCTGGCGTGGTGGAGCTTGTAATGGCTGTGGAGAGAGAATCTTCCTCACAGTTGCAAGACAGAAAAGAGTGCTTGTGGTCACTCATAGACCACAGCACAGGCCAGGAAAGGAGTAAACACTTCACTCTTGATCATACCATCTTGGAAGAACTGAAAATTTACAGGTCCCTAGAAGTATCTCTGAAAACAGCTGCACAAAACCCCCAAAGCTTGGGACAGTACATTCTCCACACTGGAAGCAGACTCCTACCTTAACAAATAGTTCATAACTCAAGTAATTGGCTAGGATCATGAGCAAGTAGCACAAAAAGAGTCAGACCATAGAATCTTACTTTGGTAACAAAGAAGATCAAAACATACAACCAGAAGAAGACAACATAGTCAAAGCTCCTACATCCAAAGCCTTCAAGAAAAATATGAATTGGTCCCAGGCCATGGAAGAGCTCAAAAAGGATTTTGAGAAGCAAGTAAGAGAAGTAGAGGAAAAACTGAAAGTGATGCAAGAAAATCATGAAAAACAAGTCAAGAGCTTGCTAAAGGAGACCCAAAAAAATACTGAAGAAAATAACACCTTAAAAAATAGCCTAACTCAAATGGCAAAAGAGGTCCAAAAAGCCAATGAGGAGAAGAATGCCTTAAAAAACAAAATTGGCCAAATGGAAAAGGAAGTCCAAAAGCTTACTGAAGAAAATACTTCCTTAAAAATTAGAGTGGAGCAATTAGAAGCTAATGACTTTATGAGAAATCAAGACATTGTAAAACAAATTCAAAAGAATGAAAAAATAGAAAACAATATGAAATATCTCACTGGAAAAACAACTGACCTGGAAAATAGATCCAGGAGACAAAATTTTAAAAATATTGGACTGTCTGAAAGCCATGATCAAAAAAAGAGCCTAGACATCATCTTTCAAGAAATTATCAAGGAAAACTGCCCTGGTATTTCAGAACCAGAGGGCAAAATAGAAATTGAAAGAATCCACTGATCACCTCCTTAAAGAGATCCCCAAAGGAAAACTCCTAGGAATATTGTAGCCAAATTCCAGAGTTCCCAAGTCAAGGAGAAAATATTGCAAGCAGCCAGAAAGAAACAATTCAAGTCTTGTGGAAACACAATCAGGATAACACAAGATTTAGCAGCTTTTACATTAAGGAACCAGAGGGCTTGGAATATAATATTCCAGAGGGCAAGGGAGATAGGATTACAACCAAGAATCACCTACCAAAACTGAGCACAATCCTTCAGAGGAAAAAATGGACATTCAGTGAAATAGAGGACTTTCAAGAATCCTTGATGAAAAGACCAAAGCTA